TGCCAGGGAGATGTGTGCCCTCAAGAAAGGAGACCAATGATCCTCTATAAATGTGCATATTTGGGGTATACATAAAAAAACCCTCACCATGAAAAATGCAAAAGCCATGTAAAGAAATGTATTTCCTGTCCTTTCTATCTCACAGTATTTATTTCTTGCTTCTGAAAGTCTTATGTCTGGAATGCAAAAATACCATACAAGATTAATTGATTCAAGTCAAGTTGCCTGGGAAGGCTGTGTCAGAAATAGGAAAACAATGTCAAGTTTCTGATTCCAGTTAACTGAACAGCCTTCTAGATTACTATACATTCGGGTGTCTAGTATGTTAGACTACCTTATTCAACATCTAGACAAGCACATCTTATCCCGAGGAATTAATATTTGATCACATGTATGAGGAACAGATAAGTTCAAAGTTACATTTCTCAGCAAAATGAGTTCTTAACTATTGTGTTTACTGTTCCCTCTAAATATTTGCATAAATCATTAGGAAGGCACTTTATAAATTACTTTAGTAACATTAAACTTGAGGCCAACATCCAAAAGGTACATAGAATGGTATGTGGCCTGCAGGGCTGAGCACACCCCTTCTGCATTTGGCTGTGGAGGAATTGTTTGTAACACGTCTGATTTAAGTTTGGTTTACTGTCCTTGTAAGGTTTTAATGTCAAAATATTGATGTTATTCTAAAATACAGTTATCCTGAGGGTGTCCCTGAGGGTGCATAATGCACAAAATTAAAAGGTCAATAATGACTTCCCAGTAACACCATGGGCCTGCTTCTCCAGGGCTGTTAATCTTCTATGTCTGCCTTAATTTGTGCCAAGACAATACAAAATGTTGCAATGGGCATCACTGAATAGAAAATACTCGCTGGGTCATGGACCATGAGCTCTTTGCCCAGGTCAATTATAGAGTCTTCACATGCAAGTACCCAAAATGAAAGCCCTATTGCCTCTGATGAAGCAATTACAGAGTGGTCACAATATTTTATTTTCCTTTCCATCAGTGTCTAATTCTACCATTTAGCCTTGGAAAGTGGTAGCTGACCAGCTATCTGATTGCCATGTGTAACTTGGACTCTCACACCTAGGAAGCCCCAAAGAATGTAAGGCCACTAATTTTGAAAGCTCAAAGGCTCCCTCCATAATGAAAAAGCAAACACAAGAGTAATTTTACTGGCTTTCATTCTTGTGGGATTACCTTATGCCTGCATTACTCTGTTTAGACTGACAATGCAACTTGTGATTAGACAGTGAATTTACTTTTTGAATAGGATGAGCACCAAAATGGCAGAAAATGCCATTGCCTGCAGTTTTAAATTCCAATAAAGTATGGCATGCTTCACTGCCTATGAGCATCTCTGATAGTTAAGTTTTCACCTTGCATGCTGGTCTAGAATTCATAGGAAGAACAGGAGAGAAATCATCATAAGAAGCCCTAGCTGTTGTTCAGTTTGTTACTGCTTTACTTTTGGTGAGGCAACATATTTAGATGATTCTCAGCATTAACTTTTTCACTCTGCTTCCCTCTCCTGACCCCACTCTTATAAAGGTATTGTCTACTGTGCAGACTATGAAACACATTGCAGTGGAAATTTGTTTGGGTAAGAGGTTCAATGTCTTCCAAGTGAAACAAGCATAGTAGAAAGCAATCATAGCATACAAAACACCTTATTGCAGCAATTATAGAACAGTAAGTCTCTCTAGATATAATTTAGGTGATTTATTATGCAGTATTGGTAGTCACTGGAGAAGACAGTCATGTAAATAGAATTATTTTACCATGTTAAAATGCTAAATAACTGTGCGTTCTTGTTCTTCACATTTTCATATCCGCTGGCATGGCAGGGTCTGATGACCCCGTACTGTCTTGAGACTGATAAAGGGTGTCCTTCACTGTCCTCTGGTTTAGACCCAGAAACCTTGCTTCAGTTTCCATGGACAAACAAGCTAGGAAGTCAGTAATCATTCCCTCCAAGTCTCAACCCACTAATATTGAATTACAACATAGGCTGAAATGAGAAGCTATATCAAGGTCAGATGGAAAAAATACAATTTTTCTCAATTATATGAAAAAAAAAAAACAAAAGAGGTAACTAGGAAGTTAGCTGATGGAAATGTCTTCCCTGGTGGGCAACTAATCAGGCTGACCTCTTCTGTATCTCTATAAATAATAGTCTCCAATTAGTACACACAGGAGGTTTGTTTCTTTTTTACACCATCAGATTTTCAACATTCTTTTGAAGAACATGAGTACTGCAACTTCAAACAGAATTTCAGTATCACTCGTACCTATGGCAAAGAGAGATGAAAATCCTTCCCTTCTCACCAATCTCCACTGTAAACAGTCAAGGACTCCCTTAGACCTCGTTCCATAGCTTTTTCTTGAAAGCTCATTTTTGTTTATCCACCCTGACATCTATATTTCTTACACAATACACCATTTTAGAGAAAATAAAAGGATCGAATTAGAGTTTTAGTGCTGACCACCCACACCTAAAAAAACTGATCAAATAATTTCTCCTATCAGGGACAGTAGTTTAGGTAATTACTGATAATAAGGACAGAAGTTGAGAGCTCTTAATCTCCAGTAATTTCTCTTCAGCACCATAACATGCTCTCGACAGCCATGTCTTGCAAAAGTCAACATGTTAATAAGTCAGGGAGGAATGAAGGAAATGCTCTATCACGAAGCTGCCAAAAGAAAGCTTTTCTACTTAAACCTCTACTTAGATGATTTTTATTTTTTTTAATAGTTTCTGGTCAAAACAGACTTTAATGGGTTTCTACAAAGAGAACTGAGAGCTGGGTTGCACTGGACAGAAAAACTGTGCTAATAAAGAGAGGAACTCACATGGGTGAAGAAAACAGCTTGGATAGCTTATTTATTTCCCTGTAGAACAAGGAGAAAAATGACTACCATATTTTAACAGCAACCATATTTGCTTGCTACCTTTTCTTGAGACAACACAATACAGCATAAACTTGGAGAGACCAAAGGTAAAAGTGACTCTTGAATGCTTTCAGTGATGATGGTCTACCTTATTAAGAACAATCTCAGCATTTCTTAGCCTGTTAAATAATCCAGAAAATTATAAGTGATGAAAAAGCAACATCAACTACTTTTTTTTGCTATGTATTTCTCTTATTCTATATTCCTATGACAAAACTAAAATAGCAAGAATGTTTCAGTGTTCCTGCCACTAAAAGTTTACATGGCCAAACCCATCACCTCTCTTAATATCTTCTAAATAAAGAAGGCATAGCTTATCTCCATTTCATAACCTGTCACATGTTGGTGTCAAAGTTTCAAGAATTTAAACCTTAATTTGAGTTCAGGGTGGAATCAGTCAGTGTTTAAGCAGATCTCACTAGTTAAGTATTATGAACCAGTGGAACCAGCAGGGAAATATATTTCATGCACAGTGCCTGAAGTATACAGGTTACAATGAGTGAAGCGTGACTGCAACCTGAGAAATATTCTTCTCCACTCTCTCTTTTTCTTAGAGCACTTATTCTAAGAACGCTTCTTTTTTGAAACTTTCTAGCCAGTTCTATTAATTCTACTGCTGCAGATAATTGTCCAGATCTGCTATTTTTCCACTTCTTCAGTTCCATGGACAGTCTGTGCTGTGTGTAATGTCTATGATGGTCATTTCCACGATGTCTTACCTGCTGCTTTTCAATCACTTGGTCGTGTAACTGCTGTGCTAAGATCAGCAGAGCATTCTTCACCAAGCTTCTGAATACACAGACACCTAGTGTCATGTTTGAACCTGTCAACTTTTTAGTGTCTCCAAGTTCTTCAGATTGTTGATAGCACAACAAATAGGGCCTGGAGGGGACTCATTCTTTGACACTTAACAAGGTATGTGATTCGTGCGAAAATAAGTAGCAATGATACCAAATTATTCTCATTTACAAATGAAAAATTATCAAGTCCAATATTTCAGTATTCTGACAATGTCATTCTTCTGGCAGACTCAGTTTTCTGACTGAACCATGGTGAAACAGTTTTTCTATATTTTTTGCCTGATATTTCATTTTTTATTCTCCAAACAGTGTAAATGTCTGTTTACTTTTCCATTAGATAGGAAAGAATGGAAGAACTGCCTAAACTCGAGCACTCATGGGTGCTTATGTCACTATCAGTAGTCAAAGAAAAGGCAGTTTTTATGGAACTTCTTCCTCTGTGGTAGGAGGGCCAAGAGATATCCCCTCTAGGTGACACCTCTTTCTCAGTTAACACAGTTGCAAATTGTACATCAGTAAGTACAGGCTGGTCATAAGAAAAAAATAATTTTCACAGGAGGATCTACAGTTGGGGGAAACCCTGTTTTGAGCAGAAAAATTGCCTTATGAACATTAATTTCAAAATTTCTTTGATTCTGTGTAATTGCAGGCAAGTCACAGATCCAAACATTCCCAAACCTTGGCTCAGACAGCTATAATGAAGCTGTATTTCTCTAGAGTAACCCTGACAGTGTATTTAATCTACCTATTTGTGCCTCAGTTTCTCTGAGTGTAAATTGGAATCAATGTATTGCCCAAGAGAAGCTGTCAGAATGACACAGCTAAAGAGTGTGAAGTGCTCTGATGGTTTGAGAATTTTTTCCAAAAGGAATTTTAAATCTTGCCCACGTATGTCACAGCACTGCTATCATCATTGCACTTGAATAGCTTGGGGGAGGGGAACAAAAAGGTGTTTGAAGGTGGCAAACACCCTTTCCTTACAGGCCATCAGTAATAGAGGAAAACACAATTTCTTTTCTGAGGCTGGCAAATATCTCAGCATGCAGACACAACCTGCAAATTCCTGAGGTATGCAATGCACATACAAAGGTGTCCTAACACATTATTTCATTAAACACATTTCTTAAAAGAAGACAAAATAAGTCACCCTCCCCCAAAAAACAAACCAACTTACAAATGGACAATGCCATTTGTTTTGAATTACCCTTTATTCATACTTATTGCAGTCTGTTTGCTAATTTACAGGCCTATAAAGATGACAAAACAGGTTTTATCTGCTCAGGACTGTTCAAAACCAGAGAGCAAATATAGCCCTGAACTCTGAAGAGGCATAAGCAAAGCAGCTACTCTGCTGGAAGCCTGACTGAGGGGGAATTGCAATAAATCATGTATTATGTTTACAAGAAGGATGTCTTGCAATTGCGAGGTCAGCATGGGACAGGTAAGAGCACAGAATGACCAAATGTTTGAGATATTTTCATACCATATCCAGCAAGCTAGGCTTGCCATAGAACAGATATAGTTTACAATAAATGACAGACAACTAAAAGAGGCTTGCTGCAGTGACAGCCTTCACTAGTAAAATAAAGTAGGCAAACTGCTACGTTCTTTACATACCTATAGCATCACTATTATTTACATCAAGTCATTCTTTTGTCCTTGCCACTACACGTAGTAACCTTGTTTGGGCAGGGAACGTGTGTTTATGTACATGTGGATAAAGGCACTCTGAATGACCTCCCCTCAGCAGCCAGGCTAATGTTTTTATAAAACTAAGAACAAAATAATTTGCATGCATCCAGATGGCAATGTCATGTAAGAAATTCTCCAGAGCAGAGACTAAGCTCCACAGGGTACAAGGTACACAGCTGTGCATTATGAGAGTGCTGATGTTATTCTATGCTGTGTTAGGAAACAATTTTGTCTAGAGGTTTCACATGTCCTTTGAGCAAGAAAGGTTTGGAGACACATCCTTGAAACATGCCATGTTTCATACTTCTGATCACCATCTCTGAGTTTCATTATTTCTTATTGGTCTTAAGAGAGGATAAGTTCTGATATTGCAGTAGCATCTCAGCCATGATGAGTTGCTGAAACATCTACTCTAAAATCCCTACATCTTTTGAATCTCCAGTTAGATGGAACACCTGCCTGAAAAGCTGCTAGTGCCTCAGAAGTGATGAGTAAAGAAACACACTCTCTTTCATGAAGCAAAAAAACCTAGACAGTAACTGATAGGTCAATGGACGGCTTCTGAACAAAATATCAAGATTCTTGCTAAAAGCAGCCAGTATTATTTTAGCTGTCCAAAATACATTTTTAATATATCATGGCCACACCCCTGTTCTCAAGCAGACAAGGACAGATCACAATCAGAACTGCATGTACTGTGCCTCTTAGTCACTTTTCTCCTCTTACTTGCCCACACAAAGTCAAGCAAAACTGAACACATAAAGCACAATATGCTCTTGCTCCATGTTACTGAGTATAAGAATATAGCAAACATTTTTTTTAAAAAAAAGGTGTTAAAAATAATGAGCAAGACATCCCACTATTGAGGATCATGGAGTTGTTTACATTGGAAAAGACCTTGAAGAGCACCAGGTCCAACCATTAAACCAGCATTGCCAAGTCCACCACTAAACTATGTCCCTAAGTACCACATCTACACGTCTTCTAAATAGTTCAAGGATTGGTGACCCAGCCACTTCCCTGAGCAGCCTGTTCCAGTACTTGGCCACCCTTCCAGTGAAGAAATTTTTCCTAATATCCAATCTAAACCTTCCCTAGTGTACCTTGAGGCCGTTTTCTTTCATCCTGTCACTTGCAACTTGGTAGAAGAGACCGACCCTGGCTTTGGCACAACCCCCTTGCAGGTCTCCCCTCAGCCCCCTTGTCTCCAGGTGAAACGCCCTCCAGGCTCCCTCAGGCACTCCTCACCAGACTTGTGTTCCAGACTCTTCACCAGCTTAATTTCCCCTCTCTGGAGTTGCTCCAGCACCTCAATGTCTTTCTTCAAGTGAGGGGCTCAGGACTGAACACGGCACTCAAGGTGCAGCCTCACCTGTGCCAAGTATGGGGGACAATCACTGCCCTGGTCCTGCTGGCCACACAATTCCTTATACAAGCCAGGATGTCATTGGCTTTCTTGGTCACCCGGGCAAACTGCTGGCTCATGCTTGTCAACCACACCACAACACCCTTTTCCCCTGAGCAGCCTTCCAGCCACTCTGACCCAAGTCTGTACCCCTACATGAGGCTGTTGTGACCCAGGTGCAGGACCTGGTCCTTGGCCTTGTTGACTCTCATACAATTGGCCTCTGCCCATCGATCCAGCCTGTCCAGATCCCTCTCCAGAGCCTTCCTCCCTTGCAGCAGATCCACACTCCTGCCCAACTTGATACCTGCCAGCTGACTGAGGGTGCACTCAATCCCCTCATCCAAATCCTTGATAAAGATAATAGACAGGACTGGCCCCAGTAGTGAGCCCTGGGGAACACCACCGGTGACCATCCACCAGTCGGATGTAACACCATTCACTACCACTCTCTGGGCCCAGCCATCCAGCCAGGTTTTTTCCCAGTGAACTGTGCACCCAATCCAAGCCACAAGCAGCCAGTTTGTCCAGGAAAAGGCTGTGGAAAACAGTGTGAAAAGCTTTACTAAAGCCCAGGCAAACAACACCCCCAGTTTTTCCCTCACCCACTGAGCAGGTCACCTTATCATAGAAGGAGATCAGGTTGGGCAAGCAGGACATGCCTTTCCTAAACCCAGGCTGACTGGGCCCGGTCCCCTGGTTGTCCTGCATGGGCTGTATGATGGCACTCAAGTTGATCTGCTCCATAACCTTTCCTGACACCAAGGTCAGGTTGACAGTCTGAATTCCCTGGATTCGCCTTCCAACGCTTTTTGTAGATGGACATCACATTTGCTAACTTCTGTGACCTCCCTGGTTAGCCAGAACTGCTGGCAAATGGCAGAAAGTGGCTCAGGGAGCTCTTCTCCCAGTGGCCTCAGTACCCTCAGGTGGATTCCATCTGGTCCCATAGACTTGTGTGTGTCTAAGTGGTGTAGGGCACTGACAATTTCCCCTGGATAGTGAGGGCTTCATTCTGCTCCTCATCCCTGTCTTCCAGCTCAGTGGGCTCAGTACCCAAACTCAAAGGCTCTTACTATTAAAGACTTAGGCAAAGAAGACATTACGCACAGGAATAACTCAGACACATCTATGTTCTACTCTGTCATGGGCACAGTTTACCCCAGAGTGGATGCAATCAACATAAAAAAAAAGTGGAGATAATGTCTGGGTGATGTTACATAGACACATTTAATTGTCTTGTGGAACCTATTTTTTATTTGTCAACTGTTATGCACATAAATAAGGGTGTATGAAGGATGCTATTATTTACCTGCTAAGAATACTAACATTCCAGTTGCGAGCATTTTTAAGTCACAGTCTTTCTTCTTTCTTTTTCGTCTTGAGTCTTAATGTAGAATATCTCTTACAAATTACACTGAGGAACTGTTTTCAGGGGTATTTATTGTTATTCCTCATTCTTCTTACTCATCATCTCTCATTGGTGATCCTCTTTTCAAGTAAAAAAAGTACACAGATCTGAATTAGTATACCCTTCTTTTAAATAGAAGAACGCAATTCAGATAGCAGCCACACAAGAATGAATCAGGAATACTTAGCTCTTTTAAACCCAAACTTTCCCATAATACAAGTCAACTTTAGCAGATTAGACCTTCATTATGATCAGTTTTACATCAATGACAACCCTAAGATCTCATAGTTTGTGAAGCAGCAGGGGTGAAATCTGAGCATTCAACTGCTGGAAACTGGTTTGGCAAGTGCAGGGAAGTTAAAAAATACAACTACAGAAACCAGAATGTTCCTTTTAAGAGCATTTCTTACATCAATACCTCTGCAGAATGACACAAAGTATTAGGAATAAGTTGCCTGGGAGGCACTTCATTACAAAGTCAGGGCCAACATTCATAAAGACCATGTAGGTCCCCTCAGAGGATGTATTTTGCATCTGGAACAGAAGCTAAGATGCTGAGAGGACTGAGCCACTGTAAATTCTGTCCAAAGCTGTTTGCTATGCCATTATATATTCTATCAATATGCATGCAATTTCTTGCATCTAAGCAATAAAATTAGTCATTAAAAACGTGATAGAAATAGGCTCTACTCAGAATCAAAACAGGTTTTGTGTTAGTAGCAGAAAGAAATGGACTTCCAGCACAATCAATGCGAGAAGCCTTGCTCCTGTACAGTTTTTGCTGCCCTCGGCATTTAAAGTGGTACAACACCACCCAGTCATGACTTGCAGTTTGAGACACATGCAGAAGGCATCACCATGATATTAAATGAATACAATTCATTAAAAAAGAGGGGGAGGGAGAAATGAAGTGAGGAAGCAGCTGTGCTAAGATGATAAGCCCAATAGTGCCACCTGCTGAGAACAAGTTCCAGGTACTTGTGGCTCCGGGGCCAGTGACTCGTTCAGGCAGAACATCTCATTTTACACTGCTCATGGTCGGATCTTTTCACAGCCCTGCTTTGTATAACACACCGCAAGAAGGCTCCCTGCCCTTGGTCGGGTTTCCTTCTCTTTTAGAGACGGACAAACACGACCAAGGACAGCATCTGTGTGGCAGTTGTCTAGAAATCAGACTCAGCTTAGGTGCAAATGAGCTGTGGATTTAGAAGGTGCATACCCATCTGACTCTTCCTCAGGTTACAACAGTGGGTTTAAAGGTTCCATCTTCAAATTATTCCACATTTATTCTTAATGTAGTCTCTTTCCTTAGCTTAATCAGACTTTTGTCATCCTGTGTTAGTAAATGCTAGCAGCTCATGCAATAGGAGCTCTTTTCCTTTGTTACAATTAAAAGACAAGTTATTTCAGAGCGAGATATAACCATAGTGTGTATGAAGGTAAGGAAATGAAGCAGACAAAAAATACTTTCCACTGTCAAGCTCATTAAATTGAAGAAACTACAGATCTTCTGTAAGTGAATGTTTGTATTTTCACATCAAAAGATCTCAATCTACATCAACACTGCTCAGCTCCTACACCAGTTAACACAATCTTCTTATTAAACCTCAAAACAGAATTCTTACAATCGAGGTCATGTACTGGCAAAGGCCAAATACTCAGATGGTGATCTAAATCCTCTTTGGGACTGGATTTATTTCACCATAGTGCCATGGCCACTCAGAAACAGAGAATGTTTTCAGACACCTGAAAGGAATCCAAGCATCAGAAATCTCGCACCTCGAGGAGACATGGACTAGTCTGTCAGAGCAAACCTGCTGTCCCTCTACGCATATACTCAGCATTATCATTCACATACAAGCCCTGGAACAGAGGGAAAATTCAGGAACCTGAGGCACATGAGTTTGCTCTTTCTTCTCTGCAAAATCTTCTC